TGTTTGACTTTGCCCATGAGTCTGCAGGGTGCCAGTGACACAGCCTAAATCTCTCAATCCCAGTTCAGCTGCAGGTCTGGAACAGTCTGGCCCCTGCAAGCACTGACAGTAGTTATTATGCAGCTTTGCAAAGGGATATGTGAGTGGCAAGAAGATTGTTGCTACTGGCATTGTCCTTGGAGCCCTTCTGTGCCAGGAAATGCACACAGAACATCTTCACCGTCAGGTTTAACCAGGATGATGAGCACCCAGGTCTGAGCACTCGAGCTAGCCTTTTCTCAGTGTGACCACAGCAGGAGCTATGTAACCGTGTCCTCCCCGTTTCTGCACTTGCCTCTGCGTCTGTGACGTGTCCCGTAACTCTGTGTGCCAAGATGCTTAGGGCTCTTTCCCACAACTGCTGGTTTGCCCTTCAGGGGAAACTGTGGGAAAGACACTGGAAGATTGCCAGCACTTAAGTGATCTTTGACCATATCTTCATTAGGGAGTGAGGAGGTTTGAAATAGCCATGGTTGGGAAGGGAGGAAAGGAGAAAAAAAAAAAAAAGTGGTCCAAGCTTTCTCTCCCAGCTGTGTGAGCTTGCACTAATGGTTTGCATTTGGTAACTCACGGTGCTGGGTTTTGTACCAAGGAAGCAAGGAGCAGTGACTGTAACTCAGGTTAGTGATGCAGTGGGCACCCACTCCTACAAAGAGCCCCGCCGTGGCCAGCTTCCAACAGCGTGTCCGTTGTGATTTTGGTACCTGGGAGGGTAACTTGGAAATGCAGCAAAACTATGCTCCATGTCAGCGGCAGAACTTGGAAGGGAACTGAGACCTCCTTCCGTGACAGATCCATGAGATCAAACGCTCTGATCATAAAGCAAAACACAAATGCAAGAATAAATAAACCTTTCTTAATCCGATCAACCTGGTTATTCTTGAATCCCATAAAATAACTGCCAGTGGGGTTGTTTGAGAACAGGTTGCTATAAACATGACATCAGGAGGGGACATCCAAACTTTGTGCAACCCAGTGATTGCATTGGCAATTTTCCAGGATCCCCATGGGCTGCTGCTAATTGGCATAAAATTAAGCAGGTTGCAGCCACCCTCATCTTTAATACAAAGAGCCCCAGGGAGGCTACAGGTTCCAGCGTGTGGCTGCTCACATCAAGAAGGAGCACAGCACGCTGGGACGTGTAGTCTCTTCGGGCCCTTTCTCCCTGTTGACAGAGGTCTGGGGAAGCTGCAGGTCACATGGGACACCTTTGCAATGGTTTGACAACCCCTCTCTCTCTCAAAAAAAAAAAAATTAAAAAATCAAATATGGCTTTGGTTAAGTTCATGGACTGTTAATCAGCATTCACGAGATTTAAAAATAAAAAAACCTAACAAACATAATTTCCTCCTTCTCTCCTCTGTGCAGAAGCAGACTACTGGTAGAAACTGAAGCTGGAAAAAATAGTTGAAAGTCAGCTAAAGTCACCTTGGTAACTGCAGCAATACACTTGCCCAGAACAGGAGACATCAAACCCAACTACAAACAGCTTTAAAGAAACAAAAAGAATGTAATCATCTAAAGAATTAATCTGACAACTGCCCACGTTTACACCTCCCACAAGCTCCCAATCAGAGGGAAATGCGCTTTAATCTCTTCCAGCTCCCCTCCTGTTTCACAAAACACGAGATGTGCAGTCCTTAAACTGGGGCATTTCCGGCATGCTGCTTCCATTTAAATCTACTGCCTTTCCTAATGCCAGCAGCCCTGGCTTTTGCAGACTTGTTTTTTCTGGACACTGAGAAACATGAATTTTTTTGTGTGGGTTGGATGAAGTATTAAATCTGGAATAGACAAAGTTTGCAACATTTTACATGATAGTCAGCTAGATCTTAGTCATAACAAATAAAACTCCACTGGCTTTTGCTGCTGATTTATTTGGTGATGGGGTGGAGGAAGCAAAGGCTTACGGGTAACTGACAGTTGTAAAACCAGGGATGTTAGTGTTAGAAAGCAAATTTTTTCTACATTTTCTTCTGAGGCTGAAAACTACAAGCTGTGGATGGCAGCATGTTACGACGTGAACTTTTTATTAATAACAACCTAGAAGTCCTGCCGACCCTTCATCTGGGCCATCACCCTTTGGAAAGGTCAGCACAAGGATTTCCATTACCAAAGGGAGAATTTTAATGGGTCTTGCTGAGTCGCTGTGTCATGCGACATGTTCCAGAGTCTGAAAGTGATGGCACTGTGGCCTTGTGTTGTGCGCAGTCCACAACACGTCCAGAAGTGCCCACCACAGAGAACTCTGGTTTAGAAAGGTATAGCTTAGATAGAAGGTTACTTGGTTTCTGCTATTGGAGTTTCGCCCTTAACGAAATTGTGTGAGCTCCACTAAAGTGAATCAAGAAACACAGAGACCGTGACTATTTTGGAAAAGTTTTGTGGAAAGGATTAATAATTTCATGTCATTCAAAGTATTAACTACTATTTTGCTTCACTCCTTCACCTTTTTGACAGAAGGGCTGGTTACTTATTAATGTGAAGTCATAATTATTGACAGCCTTAAAGTCATGACAGTTCCGTTTGATAGTTATACATTAGTCAACATCTTCTCTTGAGCATGTAATGACAAACAGCATTTGCTGTTTTTAATAAGACTTAGAAAGCTTTGCCCCTTGCCTCCGGAATATTGTCGTCATTCCTGTTATTGCACTAACAACCGGAGGCTGTTCCCCTCTGGACTGCGGCCCCATTGTGCTAGCAGCTGTACTGGCTAGCACGGTGGAAACCTAAAAACCCACCTTCAGCTCGGAAGGTTTGGAGCCCAGGGGTATGGGGAACTGTCCTGCGGCTGTCTGTCCTTCCAAAGCATGAACCTGCAGTAGTGATTGCCTGGGAGGCTGTGTTATGGGACGTGCCGGGCGCATTTAGGTAGTCCAGGTGAGAAGGGCAGTCTCTCTTGTCCGTAGCAATAACATTGCTGTAAAACTCCGATCTGCTTCAGGGTACGTAAACTCTGGAACTGCATTTAACAAGTGCAAGCTTATGGCCTGCTTGAAAATCATGCGTTGCTAATGGCTGACCCTTTTGGTAGGGATTGATAAATGAATGATTGGAAGCGGTAGACCACAGGCTGACTTTCCCACAGCTCACTGTGTATATAAGATCTGATAAGGAAGTTGAGGCAAAGCTTAGCTTAAGGTCAACTGATCATTAATCAACTGTAACTGCGCTTCTCAGGTAATCAGCCTGCAAAATGCTGGCCTACTCCACTCTTTGAAGACCCCACCTACAAAGAGCTGTAAAATGTTTGCTGAAGTAGATTAAACACAGCTTTAAGTGCCACCTATAGACTACAAAGCATGTTGTGTCTTTGCTTCAGGGTTAACCCACCAGGCTGACACTCTGCTGACTGTCAGTCCATCAGCCCACCCTATGCATAAGCTGTATCCTGACCTACTGTGTCCTTGCTGGGTCCATTATTGCTTTTGCGTGGTGCTAAGGCAGAACATGGGACACATTTTACGGTTTTTATCTTGCGGGGAGCTGAGCTGCTCTGATTTTTTTTCCTGCATGTCTCTGACCTGGCCATGCAGGGTATTTGCAGGAAGGCACTGTGAGGTATCAGTTTTGCTTGTATCCTCATTTCAGAGTGGGCAGCTCAGCAGCCTGGGTGAAAGGCTCACCTGGGACTAGGTGACCTGGCAGAGGCAATAGGCTGATCTGCTTTGGAAGCCATGCTGAACTGTATTACTATGTGTGTGGTGGATGGGAGTAATTTTGGGACAGCACCCAAATGTAAAATCAAGTAGAGGTGTGATCTAAGTCAGCTCATGAGGGTCAAGCTGTTTCTTTACAATTATTTCCAGATGTACGTTAAAGATGGCTCCGCTTGGGTGGAGGAAGGATCCAGGCTTGTTTTAACAGTGTTCCCAAATGGAGCCACAGCCCCATAGCTTTGTTTGGCCTGTCTGGCACGATGGAACCACATTGCAATATGGCATCTTTCAGCTCCCTCCTGCTTTCCCCGTCCCCCTCCGCTGGTGATTCTGTACTATAGAAACTACCTTAACAAAGTCTTATCTTTATCAAGTTCATGTGGAACGCCAGGTCACAAAAATATAAATCACATATCAGACACATCACATCAGTCCATGTCATCTGCAAAAATCGTAACCCTCCCCGTCCTTCATTCTTTGTTCTGGACTATCAAGCAAGGGATTATGATGATGCTCTTTGAACATATAAAGTGTTTATGGTCAAGTATTTTGAGATATACCAGGATTCTGTCTGGCAAAGTTCCTAATCATGTGACAACATAACCTTTAGTCATAGCTTCACAATATGCTGGCCTTGCAGAAATGAATGAATAAATAAGAAAGCAAAGCTGCATTGTCTTAAAGTAGCCCCACTTACAAGGGAAAGCAATCCGCGGATGTCCTACTCGTCACATGTAGAGTCCATCTTTTGGCTGTTGCACATGATGCTGGTGGAAGCGGAGTGTTCTCAAAACCTTTTGGTTGAACTGTGAAAAGAAATGATTTGGAGGCAATTGTAGGGATGCCTCAGACCTCAAAGATATTTGAGCAAGGGCACAAGGGACTAGACAAATCTTTCCTGCAGGCCACTGCCTAAAAAATCCTGAAGATAAAGCAAAAGTAGGAGGGAGGAGACACCTAGTAATTCTTCCAAGCCATTTTATAGTGGTTTGGGGTTTTGGAGAGTGTAGTTTTGCTCCAATTCTTCCCAGAAATTTTATTTCTTGTATGCTGGGAAGGGATGCGCCACGTGTGCGCGCCAATTCAGATCCTAGGTCATCAAATCAAGGTGAAGAGCTGCATGCTGCGACTGGTAGTCTGAGGGAGGCTGCGTGTCTGTAGGGGTGATGGAAACCCAGATGTGTCTTTGTAACAGTTTGCTCCTGTGTCCTTCAATATTTGCACGATTTCTCTGAAACGCAGCAGAAATAGCACACAGCACTGGGATCCTAAATATATGCATTTTGTCTCTTCTCTTAGAAGCCGTAAGGACAGTTTAGAAAGCGAGAGCTCAGCAGCTATCATTCCTCATGAGCTAATCCGCACAAGACAGCTGGAGAGCGTACACCTGAAATTTAACCAGGAGTCCGGAGCTCTCATTCCCCTCTGTCTAAGGTGAGTGAAGTCTTCCTCCTCCTCAGCTTGTGCTAACATGCCGCTTTTGCCTTGTGGTGTTGTTTCACCATACAGACATGCATGCAATGGGTCTTTAAAGGCCAGAGTTGAGGTATTTTGCCAAAACACATTAGAAACAGATGATTCTTTGCATGTGTGTTCATCGTGGTAAGATTGTTTCTCATTCTTTTTATGTTCTCCAGCATATTTTGAGTGCTGAAATAGTATAGGGTTAGTATAGGGATTTTTTTATTAGTCTAATGCTGGCAACTCCGTGATAAAGAAGGGATGTTTTACTATATTCTGTCAAAGAACACTCTTAAGTTGTTAATTCTGGATTATGGACTCAGACACAAGTGGTTGTGCAAAGCCTGTTTGCAGTCAGTTTATGCATGCAAGTGTTTTTTAGACAAATTATGTCACTTGCATGATTGAAGGAACAAAACATTGCGTGCATACTCTACATGTTGTCTTTTGAAGGTTCAGGCTGTGCATAGCACTGTAAGTGACTTTTCTAGGTTTCCACAATTTCAGTCAGCACTATTTTTAAAAAGGCCTGTGGCAAATGTAGTCCTTAACATAAAGATGAACTGTGGGGTAGAGACAAATGATCGCAGGTGATCGAGTTACTTTAGCTTAATGAGTTACATGTCTGTAGTATCAGAGTTATCAGCAGCAGGTGCACACTCGCCTGTGCCTGTTGAGAAACCAATGGGATAGTTAACACGAACATGTTTTATTTTACATCACAAATGCGTGAACAGTCTGTCCTGATCAGTTACCACAGCTCAGCTGACCAGCAGTAACTCATCAAGCAATTGTGACTCTGTTAGGTGCCGTGCATCTTACCTGAAGTTTTCCCCTTTGCATGTTGGAAGCCATGCATGCATGTCACACATGCTCTGAGCCTAAATACCAGAGCCATGATCTTCCCTGTGGAAAGCACTAAACGAAAAAAAGGGAAGTGATACAGAAGGTGGTCATTATGTATATTTTCTAGGCATTTGCTTAAGTAATACAGGTTACATTTGTCAAGCACTAGGGAAATGGATTACTAGGTATTGTCACGGTAGGTAAGTTTGGCCCCACTAATGAGCCTGCTTAGAAATGCGTCTTCACATTCCCACATGATGTGGAGTCTGGATTCTCTTCTGCAGTTTTCATCTTACTGAAAGACTGGCAGTCCCCTGCCCTTACATACATCAGCACCTCATCATGGGGATAGGCATGCAGTGGGATTTAGATGTATTCTAGTGCTGTAACAAGGCCCTGAGATTAAGGGGGGAGATAAGGGGGAGCTCCCTGCCTCAGAAAGAGGCTTGTGACCTGCTTTGTGGAGCAAATCATTCATATATTCCTGAAAAATTAATAGTTGCTGCCTTCAAAATGGTTTCCCGTGCTGACGGCAGAAGCTATAGTGATATATCTTCATCGTTCTGGTGAGTGCTGCTCACACCCTCTCAATTCACGCACGTGTATTTTATTCCCAGGGGAAGGCTCTTACATGGACGGCACTTTACATATAAAAGTATTACAGGGGATACAGCAATCACGTTTGTATCAACAGGAGTAGAAGGAGCCTTTGCTACAGAAGAGCACCCCTATGCAGCACATGGACCTTGGTTACAAGTGAGAGAGCCTCCTTCCTTTTTCTCCCCCTTCCTCCTTTACTGTGACCTAAAAATGATCCTGCTAAGGGCTTACGTGGTTTAAAAGCATAACAAACCTGTATTTTCTGCCGCAACTTCTCTCATAGCTCTTGCATAATATTTTCAGTAATTACGGACTCAAAAAATAATGGTGAACTGTTACTATTTATATTAATGGAACTCAAATTGATAAGCAGTGGCTGGAAAGTTCAAAAATCATCTGTGAATACAGTAGTGTCCATTTCCTGGAGTCAGCGAACACTTTACAGGCTGTATTTACTCTTGATTTTTTTCCAGAAAGGAATTTGGGGAGGCAGAGTGGAATGACCTAAACAAGAATGGAGCCAGGGCGGAAGAGCTAGAAAGCTGTGGGACTGTGATCCTACAGAGCCAAGATCTCGGTTTTACATCATCCCTACCAGGAGAGCAGCACAGAGAGTACAGCTTCTTTCAGTTTTAGCTCTTTCCTATCTTTCCTATTGATTCTTTTACAAAAGCTCGTGGTTGCTTGAAGCACCCACACGTTTTCTGCACCCAGATTTTTTCTGTATCACAGATTTTCCTTGGAAACTCCCCATCTGCTTGGTGTTGAGGGTCAGCCCTGCAGAGCAGTGATGCACTAATGATTTGATGGCATAGCGCTATTCTAACCTTGAATTTCTTCATGGTTATAAACATATTGCGAAAAGAAAAAAGCTTTGCGGAATGTGTTTATGCAGAAAAGCCCATCTCTGAGGGACTATATGCATGCAGTACATCTCTGCCTTCACTGTTACTGTGACATTCCTGCCCCTTCTGTTTGTAAGGCAGGGGGGTTTTTTAGCATCACAGTGTTGCAGTTAACCTTCCAGTGACTTGTTTTCAAGGCATTCCACTGCCCGTATTCATACGTCTGGAGGACATCATACCTTGAAATCTCTACGACTTGTAAAGGAGCTGATCTTGGCTAGAATCATCTTGTGTGTAGGGATTTTCAAAGAGCTTGTGTGCTTTGATTGTACTGACTGGAAAGTGCAACACTCCTGTAATGATTAACAGCAAACGGTCAGGTTTAAGGGTGGGTCATTTGCTGTTGGTTCCGGTGCTTGCCAACACATGATACACAGGGTCTTGTGACTGTGTTAACTCCAAACATAAGAGTGTTTGTTTGCATTTACATCACATCTCCAAATGTATTGATGTGTAGAGTAGTCAGGTAACCTCTAAACAGTGAAGAATGGCAATAATTAGGTCACCATTCAGACGTGTAACTAATATTAACCCTTATGAACCTGTTTGCTTCCATGCCTGCTGAAAATTATGGAAGTTTTTTGGAGTTGGTGGGAGGGAAAGATGGAGAATTGCTGGCTTCTGAGGGGTAGGGAGAAGCAAGTTCCCTTGCTTGTCTCGTCTACACAGGGTCAACGTATTGGATCTTCGCATCTGATGTGACCGGCTCTGCTGCTGGCTCCTGCCCCGTTCTGTGATGAGAATGAAGGAGGACAGACTGGGTGGGGGAGGAGGGGAGGCTAAAAGCAGCCTGGGACAAGAGGAGGAGCACTCGGTTGTGTGAGATACATGTGGGAGTGTCTGAGGCTCTTGGCTTAATATGCAGTGGGAGGCTTGATCTGTGCTCAGCGGTCCCTTGTGGTGTTGGGAGCAGAGGAGGGAGGTTCATGTGGCTTTACTTCAGAAGTAAAAGAAGTTGTGGTGCACAAAATTTCCAAGGAGGCGAGCTGTGTTTGGTTTAGGCCCTTGCAGCCTGGGCTGGCCAAGTTGGCAAGCCCCGCAAAGCTTTCACAGCAAGGCCCAGAGAGGATTTTCCTCCTCCCTTGCTTGGGACCCCAGGCACAGCGATGAGCTCCAAGGAGAGCTGGCGGCTGAAAGCATATCACTGCAACGCAGGGGCTTGTTGCAAAGACAAGTAAATGGAGGGACCGTGGAGAGGAAGAGAGGTGGCAGGCGTCTCCTCCCGTGGACTTTTTCCCTATCTTAGGGGAGGAATAAGAGCCTGAAAAATCCTGGCCTCAACTCTGCAGCAGCCAGAGAGTGACTCCTCTTGAGCCTGAGCTTTGGTACAGTGAAAGCCCAAACCTGCAGACTAAACACAGTACCTCCTGTTTACATCTCGTGGGCTGGAGTGGAGCGTGTCCAAGGTGGGACAGGCTGGAGATCTGCTGCACAGTCTATCAGCCCCTGCTGCCTGGGCTGAGCAATGAGCTGAGAGTCACTGGGCTCCAGTGGAGGGTTAGCAGATGACAGGAGTTTGGCAGGTCCCAGTGCCATTCCTACCAGACAGGTGTCCATATCACCACTGCAGCTGGTACTCGGCAGGAGCCGTTTTAGCAGTCTCAGCAGAAAAGGCAAGGAGTCATTAGACCACGGAGATTGTACGCCCCATTTCTATCAACAGTCTTTCCAGGTCACGTTCGAGGCATGTTAGTAGGGGAAGCCTGTCCTGCTGCTGCCCATGCTCTGGGGATGATTAGATTATTTCATTCTCCAGAGCTGTCAAATTGGCACCTTTCTAGACTCCTGTTTTTTTTTTTTTTTTTTTTCATTTAAGTAACTTTAATTAGTTCTAAGAAGCTAAATTCTATTAAAGGTCTAAGCATGTCAGGCTGGTTTATTTCTGAACTTCTTCCACTGTGTCATGTATTGTTGAATAGGGAAATTGCTTTGACTCAGAAGCATACAAACATATTCAAGAAGTCCTCCTTGTTAACACTAGACTCCTGTTTATATGCTAGTTACCGTGGCAAAGTCTCTGATGTGTAACACTTGCATTAACATTACACATGATCAAAGGCTTCTGCGGTTCTTTCTTCCATTCCCCCTTCCCCCAGTGCTGTGACAGCAGAGCCCCCACACTGCCTCCTAAGCACCTCTCCTCTCCTTTCCAAGGGGTGGATATTCCAGATGCACAGAGAAAGGCTGTGCAGGAGGTGTCTGGCCCCATGTTGGAGAGTTAAGGATGCTGATCATGCAGACAGACTCTGACATTAACTGCCTCACAGTGACATTCGTGTTCATGGTGGAGTGTCCAAGGTTCTTGATTCAACATCTGAGCTGTGCCAAGCGTGCAGTTCATCACAGATCAACCTTGTTTATCTCTAAACCTGCCCAAAGCAAGGTGAGGTTGTGCATGTGTTCTCCCTCCCTCCCTTACTTATGTTCCGGCAGATGATAGAGACACTCTGTTGAAATGTGTTACTGATCAAGCCCGACCCAATAAAGTTGCCTGAGCCTTTAATACATATTAATATTATCCTGGGGTAGTTTGTGTCAAAGCCTGTCAGCATGCATCATCCTTTGGGAATTACCATCATTAAGTCTCCAGTGATGGGAGTCAGGACATGCTTCTGCAAAGCTCCTCTGCTTTTATGTGGAGCTCTCTGCCCATCTAGCACAAAGCAGAGTGTTCTCCCCTCCTACCTTGCTCACCTGGACTGCTTACTCTCCCCTCTGGGGAGAAGGAGGTTTGTTTAACACTACCTTTAGATAATTTCTGCTCCTGCTGCTTTAGGCAGTCATTGTTCTAGGGAAGAAGATGACACTCAGGTCTTTGATCATGTGCAACGTATATGTTACGCATCAGATATTGCTGCAGACTGACATAGGAGCCAATACAGTACAGTAAAAACAAACCTATAGTTAGAGTCCTCATTAACTGCAAAATCTAGCACACAGAATTTAAGAAATATCTCTGTACTTCGGCCTTGCCCCTGTTACACATGTGTATTTCGATACTATATTTAACTGGAGGATCACATATATTTTTTACAAAGCATGCCTGCCTCATTCAGCGCACAAAGATGCAGCGTGTTTGGGGGATGAATCAGGAGTGTGGAGTAAAGTAGACTCTTCCCTATAGGACTTCCACTTCATTCGTTTGTCAAAATTAGAAGGTGTGTAGTGAATGAGGCAGGTAATTGCAGAAAAATCACAATAGTCTGATGGCAGAGCCTGTTAAATGTTGCCCTGGAGAATTGGATCCTGTCCCTGCCTCTACTGCTCTGTTTGTTCTCAGTGCTATTCCAGAGTCTTAAGCTAAAATGTTTTCAGGTGGCAAGTGAGTTCGTGTTCCTTGTTTTCTGGGTGGCCAGCTCAAGACCTGAGGTCTGATCTGTGTTCCCAGTGGCAGGAGGAGGCTGGGAGGAATTCCTCCGTGGGTACCACTGTACCCTGCAGGGCTGAGTGGGCTGGAAAACGGGGACCTGCAAGTCTTGAGATGGGCACCCGCAAGAAGTGGACGTTCCGACTCAGTTTTCTTTTCACTAATTTCCCCTTGTCTGTTCAGGAAAACCTTCTTCCAGTCATCCTGTGAAGATTAAGTCAGTGCTTGCCAAGCATTCCAGCTCCACAGATGAACACCAGAAACAATTTCAGGAAGAGATTAAAATTCGTTCTTGCAGGTCAGGAGAGAGAAAGGATCTCTCTGGGGTAGGGGGTCAGACTGGGAGTCGAAGACCCGTGTTGAGCTCCCTGCTCTTGTAGGTTTTCTCCGTGACTTTGTTAGGTCTCTTAGATTCTTTTAGCCTCCCTCCTCCATCTGCTGCATGGAGAGGAGCGCTTCCCTGCCTCGCAGAAATGTGAGGCTGAGCATATCAGAGGCTGTGAGAGTGGTAAGGACAGAAAGATTAGGTACTTCCAGTGTAATCCATGCTGGCAGTAGTCGGATGGAGCGTACTAAATAAAAGGGAAGAGAGTAGGAGGGAACAGGGAAACAACATGAATGATAATGAAAAGAAACGATGACTAATGCTGCATTCAGTGAGCAGAACCGTCCTGAGGACTGAGCAGGGCAGAGGTCTTGTGGGAGAAGAACGGCAGGCGATCCTGTGATTACAGATTTGTTTTGGCAGATGTATGCTGGGGCCAAATTAGCATGGGGCAGGCAATTCCTGTGCAGCCATTTCCAAAGTTTTGTATGCCCGATCTTGTTGGTCTCTGAGTGTAGAGGTTTTTTTTCCAGGTAATTTACTTGGTTTCAGAACGAATCCTGTTAGGCAGATGGAGGCTATGGTTCATTTGCAGTTGGCACCCTCCAATTCTCGGCACAAGGTCTGTGTCTCCGCGTGAGCTGAGGAGCTCACAGCGTCAGTGGGGTATTATCCTCTGGCACCAGCCGCTGCTGGAGGATGGTCTTTGCTCGTCCCCCATGCCAGTAGGTTCACAACATCCAGCAGACAGCATGTGGATGCTGAGGCTGTGGAAATAGGGTTCTCCTCCAGCCTCCCTGCCCTTTGTGTCACCTCTGGCTTTGGCCTCTGATCTGCCCTCCATCCTGTTTTTCTGTGTCTCTGTCTTCCCCTCATCCTGGCCCGTCTCTGCTTTCCTCTCCTCCCCTTCATTCAAGTTGGCAAATTCCTTCTCCTCCTCCTCCACGCGGCCTGACTTCCAGCAGAAACACTGAGAGCACCGGAGAGTTTCCCTGCCTTTAGTCCTGATGTGCCTGGTGCCATAGCAATCCCTCGCTGCTCAGAGGAATGATCAGAAGGAAAACTACTCCTTAGCTACCTCTGCCCTGTGTTTGGGGCAGAGCTGCCTTGGGCTGGGACATGCTCAATAAAGAAGGGCTCTTCAGTACATTTTTCTGCCTTCCTCTGAAAGTCTATGGACAACAAGTGACTTTCAGAGGCTTCTGACTTGGCAAAGCATTTTCACGATGGGGAGAAAGACTTTCCCTTGACCTCCAGAGCGCTTTTTTGCTAATCTTCGTCACCCTTCTTGTAAGGGGTAGTTCTCGTGCTTTGCAGCAAAATGATCATACGCATTTGTTAGTACTGTCAAAAAATACTTTTTCCAAAATACCTCTCTAAGACAACTTGATTCCTTTTTCCCTCAAAACCTTTTAAAAAAATCAAAAACAAGGCATCCAGCGTGGAAAAATAAGTTGAGGCAAGGCATCCAGCATGGAAAAATAAGTTGAGGCTTAGGACAGCAAGGTCAAAATTCTCATAGAAAATGTTAAATGTGCCTGTAGGCAGGATAGGTACATGGAGGCTGTGGGAAGCATCCAGCATTCAGGAGCTATCAACATGCACTATCTATGCTGGCAGTCACGGTGGGTGAGGTGCGGGGGATTACTGTGAGCAGGGTCATGGGGGACGATCCATTCTTTTGGTTTGGCAACCTAAGTGAAAAATCTGGGAAGAAGATCAGACTGAGCCCAATCTTTAAATATTTTCAGTTTTTCTTGCTGAAACAAAAGTCTTAAAGAGACCAAAAGCTGAAAAAAAAAATCCTTTTGTGTTGAATGAAACCAGAAATAGAAGGTTTTCTTCAATAAA